TGGGCATTCGCCCAGACTATACAAGCCTTCAGGCACTGTCGCCCGATATTATCTGTTGATGGTACCTTTCTCACTGGAAAGTACAAGGGCACACTATTGGTGGCGATTGCAGCGGATGCAAATAATCAGCTTCTTCCTATTGCATATGCATTGGTCGAGAGCGAGAACAAAGATAGCTGGTTGTGGTTCCTGAGCTGCGTGAAGATTGGTGTCGTGAAAGAGCGTAAAGGTGTTTGCATCATTTCTGATCGCAACACTGGATTATTAAGCGCTCTTGAAATAATTAAGGCATCGGAAGAAGAGTGGGGCTGGCCTGATCTAGAGGGAAGGTGGTGCATGAGGCATTTGGCAGCAAACTTTTACTCCAAATTCAAAAACAAGGATTGGTTCAAGTTATTCAAGAGGATGTGCATGCAAAAAACTGAAGCCAAAATGAATGCGATATGGGCAGGTATCAATGCTGAGATCGACCGCGCGGCCTTGCCGCAGAGAGAAGACCGGAGGGGTCGTAGGACGGCCATAAATTTGAGCCAGTGGATCACCGAGAATTGCCCTCATTTGGAGAAGTGGGCGCAGGCTCACGACACCGGGGCTCGGTATGGAATAATGACCAGCAACATGTCAGAGGTGTATAATGGTGTTCTTAAAGGGGTGCGAGCACTGCCTATCACATCCCTAATTGAAGAAACTTGGAACCGGACCCTGTCATACTTTGCAGAAAGGGTCACCATCGCCAAAGCACAAGTTGAATTGAACAAGCCATGGTCCGAGAAGATGCAAAGACATCTGGATGAGAAAGCAAAGAAGTCCCAAAGTCATGGCTACAGGAAAGTGGACGCACTTAGGAATAACTGGGAGGTCAATGTGCGAGCCAAGTACGTTAAGGGTCGCCACAGAGGATCAAAAAAGCAAGCTGTCACCCTTGGCTCAACCTCCTGTGAGTGCACTTGTAACAAGCCCAAGCTTGAGAGCTACCCTTGCAGTCATGTGCTCCGGGCGGCTGCTGTTCAAAAAATCAGCGTCGAGCCATACATATCGCCGTACTTCAACATGTACAATCTGTACAACACTTGGAACGGTGAGTTCTGGGCTTGGGGCATTGATATGAACTACAAAATGTTGTGGCCAGATGGGCCGAAATGGGTTCCGAACACCGACTTGATGAGAACCGCAAAGGGACGACGTCAGTCTAGGCGTCATCGCAATGACATGGACCATAGCCAGATGGGAGAACCAAGGCGATGCCGCGTTTGCAGGTGTCCTGGACATTCACGCAAAGACTGCCCATATTGAGCCAACAACAACGCATGATGTTGATATATATGTACTCGCCATGTCTATTTATATTTCTACTCCTTATGTGTACTTATATTAAATTTAAATTGATTCTCTTTGTATTATTGTACTCCTGATGTTAACTTCAGATAATTAATGTAAATCGTATCTCTTTGTATTTTTTAAGTTAATTTTGATTTGCATTTGTATTTATGTCTTCCTCGTAATTTATATTTGTATGTTTGTGTGCAGGTTATGGGTGAAGTGCCAGTGCTTTTGCAGGGGCCCCATGACGCCGGCCACCGTTGCCACCTATTTTTGAAACCAAATACTAAGCATGATTATCGGCCTTTCAGACTTCGAACCATAAAGAAAACATGGCCAATACACAATCATTTCCTTGCTCACCTTGACGCTTATGGACTACAAGGTTTTGCTAGGCTCACATCATGCGACGACCAAGTACGTTCGGACCCATCCCTTTTGACATCCCTCGTTGACCGGTGGAGACCTGAAACCCACACCTTTCACTTTCGTTTTGGGGAGCTTGCACCTACACTGAAAGATGTTTCTATGATCACTGCTCTACCAATTAGAGGTGAACCGATAGTCTCTCCACGAGTGTCTCCATCTTGAGCATTAGATATAGCAGCCCGTCTTGGGATGGAAATGCCAGAATCACAACGTTCTGGTAACCCTCGGGGCATCCCACTCGTCTGGCTTCATGATAACTTTCTTAATTTATCTAGCTTCGCCAATGAGGAGACGAGAAAAAGACATCTGTTTGCGTATTTGTTGTGGCTCCTCGGGAATCTATTTTCAAATTCACATGGGGACGTTGTTGTCCCTGGTCTCATCTACATTGCAGAGAATATGATAGATGAACCTTTACCTGAGCAGCCAAAATACAGCTTCGGTTCTGCCATGCTATCTCATACATACAGAGGCTTGTGTGATGCCACACAAAAAACCTCTTTCGCACAAAAAGCTCCATTACTTTGTGTCGCCTATGAGTTTCTACAGTTGTGGTCCTGGGAATACCTCCCTGTAGGACGACCTCGTATAGTACAACCCATATACCCATACGACTTTGGCGAGGGTGCTAGCGCAACTATGGCCACCAGGTGGACAAAGGCACGGAAACGTTGGTCTCCAGATATTGCGAAAAATTGTTACCCTTTGTACCACCAGCAGTTTGAGATACTTGATGAGGCAGAAGTCACATGGAACCCGTGGACTCAGGACCAGCTAAAAATGGTCTTTGATGCTCGACACTTCACACCGGGCATGTTGACCGATAGTGCATTCTGGCTGACTCGCTGCAACTTATTGTTCCTGTGGTGTGTTGAACCTTACAACCCAGAGCGTGTAATGAGACAGTTCGGTCTCTATCAAGAAATTCCACCACCTTTTCCCAGACGTATCGACGAGGAAACACATAAGTAAGATGTGACATCCCTAAATGGTTAGTGTCATTTTTAATTTACTAAACTCACACTTTGTTACATAATTTGCAGGCTAACAAATATGGGCAGGGGTTGGAGTTTATACGATTGGAGGGAAGAGAACAGTGAATGTGTACACAAGTAGGAAAATGAAGCGCTAGCAGATATAGTGCGTCAACTTAGGTATATTTTATGTACATTATTTTTTTACGATGATCATACGATGCGTGAAGATGCTTTGCTTTCATCACAACGGTTTATGTAATTATTTAATTTAGCAGACCGTACGATGGAAGTACAGATCAAGCGTACAAGAAGTGGTACTGCATGAACACACGTGCTAGCCTGGCCAGTCAGCCAGCTACTATACCAACACATCTCACACAAGAGGAGCAGGCGCGGAGACATGTTGAGCTGCATGCAGCTTACTATCGTGACCACCTGGTAATCACTTGTAACTTTTTTAGGTCCATCATTTCATAATCATTTAAACTAAATAACATCCAAATATTGTTCAGCTTGAAAATGTCAACGAAGTAGGGCAGATGGCTACGGATAGCATGCCGTCCCAAGGCCCATATCGCAAGACATTCCAGAAACTTTTGCAACAATTCGTGGCAAAGAAGTTCAGATGCGGTAGAGGCGACGACGTTGCCACTGGAGCATACATGCCGGTAGCGAGGTCAGCCAGACCGAGTGCGGCACCGTCGTCCAGACCGAGCGAGGCGCGTACGAGCCATGAGCAATGGGGGGAAGGGTCCGAGTACTAGAACGACATTGCCATGACATGACTCATCTCTGCCGCTGCATCGCTCTTCTTCGATGCAGCTTCGTCAGGGGAAGACATCTCAGGACCATGGCACGGGCTTGGATTCGATGCCCGAGCAGTTTCTTTCCCCTAACCCATATGCGTACACAGGATATGATGCATACACCCAAGGTGAGGGATCTCAGCCGTATCTCTTCACGCGAGGGATCCCCATGCCCGAGGAGACTCGTGTACCAGATTTAAACCAGCACCACGTACCAACACCGCAGGACTGCCACCCCAGGAGGCAAACTTGCAGTCTTCATTTTCCTCGGCCTAATGCTTTGATCCGAACAAGGCAAACTCATATCGACTGAAAAAAATGTGTACACACTTTGCGCACTGGCGATTTCTAGGATGGCTGGACGAGAGCCTCGGTGTCTTCTTTTATAGGCTCAGACGATTAATGATGGCGAGAAAATAAGCGAGAACAGAGGAAATTAGGCGGGATATTTTAGGATCCCTGTAGTGTCGGCACTACAGAACCAAAAGCAGGCATCAGTGTCTATATCACCGCGCGGAAATCACGCTCTTGGGTGCTGTCACCTCACCTGCAGCAGCAATTTTCAAAGCATGGGAATGAGCGCCATTTGCCACAGTTCTCATGTCGGTCACACTGCAGATCCACACTGTAAGGAATCAGCCCAGTTTGCAACAGCGAGCCCGTGAAATTAGCACACCGCATCGGATTCCCGCTCAATCATGAAAATCAGCATCATTAGCAACAAGCAATCACATACACGTGGGAATCAACGCCATTTACTACAGTGCTCATGTCGGCCCGGGAATCAGCGCGCGCATGCAGCAACGGCCGCTTGCGCTAGTGGCGGCCGGGCCCATGCCTCGGCAACCGAGCAGCACCAGCTGTCGGCCAGCACTGTCAGCCAGGTGAGGCCGCCTCAGGCTGTGGCGGCGAGGTCCACTGGCGGGGCCCGCTCGCAGCAGGGCCTGTCGGCCAGGCAGCGACCACGCCAGGGCTGGCCGCCTCGCCCGGTGGCGGCCGGGCCCACCTGGCCCGCCCCATTTCGTCGCGCCGCGACGCACTGTGGGGAATCCGTTCGGCTGGGGTGGCCGCCTCCTGCGGTGGCGGCCGGGCCCGCCGCCTCCTGGCGTGGCGGCAGGTGCCACGTGTCGCCTGCCGCGCGTGCCGCCACCGCTGAGGTGGTCCTTTTTGTCAAATTGATCCAGAGATAGTCTCTTTTGTCAATTCATCTCGGTAGGGGGTCCTTTTGGACAAAAAATCTAGACCTGAATCGTGCATTAAATGTCCGAGGGTTGTCTGGCGTATACATCGCCCCAAGGCTCTAAAAGTCAAAGAAATAACTATATACAGTAGGTGCAGGAAATAAGTCAGTGGACGCAGGTGCCAATCATGTGCCCATAACTATAACTAAGAGAAAAACCATTGGGAGTGCATCAACCTGTGCTGCTCGAAAACACAAACACACACACACATTTAGCGAATCAGCGAAATGGCGCAATGGTGGGACGAGTGGCAGCTTCGCATCCTCGTCCTAGCCAGCCTCATCGTCCAATTCTGCCTCGTATTTTCTGGTCGAAATCGGTTAGAGCATCTCCGGGCATGGTACAGAGTCTGGCTCCGGCTAGCGCACATCGGCTGCGATCCTCTGGCCCTCTTCACCCTCGCCACGCTCTTCAACCGCCAAAAGGATGGGCCGCGCTGTAGCTACGCGCGTGGCAGCCGCGACTTGGAGCTGCTATGGGCGCCCATCCTTCTGATGCACCTCGGCGGACAAGTCGTCATAACCACCTACAAGATAGAAGACAACGAGAAGTGGAGCCGGCACATCCTAACTTCTCTATCCAAGGTCAGTGCAAAATATTCTAGCGCCACTTTTTATCTTTAGTCCTTTAGGAAGAATTTACTTTATACACGGATAAAAATCACCAAAACCCACTTCTAGGTTGCCGGCAAAGAAACTTTTTCCTCTTGAATTACTATGTCAATAAACTTATGCGTCTCACTTCAAAATTGAAGTCCTACGCCTAACCGTTTTGTTATCAACTGCATCTCTACCGAGGATGGGAGGGCACCTAGGGCATAACTGTATACTCTTTTGGTGCCTCTAAATTCTATTAAGCCATGCCGGGTATCTCGCATGTATACTATGTTCATACGAATATTGGTATATTTACTAACATGCGAGTGGGGTAGAGGTCATGTGGTTGTATCTTTACATTCATGAATTTCACGATTTTCTTAGCGGCCTAACAAACCCAAGAAGAGGATAAGATATCCGCACATGTATTGGTATTTTTATTATTCCTTTTGTCTCATAATATAGTGTGCATCAATTTGTTTTCAATGCCAATCTTCACATACTTTGATCCAGTTTATAGAGAAGATTATCTATATCTACAATATAAGATCGATTTGATGGTGAATCTAATGGTGTTAATTTGGTATTCAAAAATTGAGACATTTATGTTTTTTTTCATAAATTTGGTTAAAGTGTACTACATTTAACTTTAAAAAATAACAATATACATTATATTATGGGACTGGTAGGCAGTGCAGTTGGGTACTTTCCGCGGTTATGACTCCTAGGGAGTAGGAAAAAATTTGCATCGCACTGATTGGATCATCCACTGTGTCAGGTCACGGCTGCACTCTACGTGTTTTACAAGTCATGGTCGGCGGATGACAAAAGGTTGTTGGCTGCAACAATTTTGCTTTTCATCCTGGTGATTCTCAAATGCTTCCAAAAGGCCCTCAATCTTAGGGGCAGTAGCTTTAGTGCCCTACGAAAGGCCAGCTCGTCTGAGGTCGTCCAAGCGACCGGCCTGAGAAAAGAACGGCTTAAAGAATACGTAGAAAAGGCAAAAGAAGTCCTGCTGGATTGTGGTGGACGCGATGAAAAAACATACTCCTCCAACCTCCCAAGCCTACCGGACCAGATATTTTTGGACTTTCCACGTCCATATTCTGAACGTGCTGAAACACTGAAGAAATTCTGGGTTCTTAACCCCATATCAGCTTGTCAAGCAATAGAAGGAACGCTGTCTGCTATGACCAGTTTTCTTTACACCAAAAATGTTGACACCAAACAAAATGTTGACACCAAACACCATTTTCCTCTCATGGACAAGCCAACACTTTCCGGTCGGGTTCTTTTTCTTTTGAAGTACAAACTTTGTTATTTTTACTTATACATTAGCCGGAAATTGGAGCGCCTACTTCGCCGTGGATTTATACAAGGATTGCCAGTTTATGCAACATTAATCACAGTCATCTGCCTCGTACACACTCGTAGCCAGAAACAAGCTTATAGCGGTGCAGATAGCAAGATAACACTTGTGCTGTTGTACTTCACTCTTCTGATGGAGCTGGTTCTGGTCATATCAAGTGACGGGGACAGCTTCCACACCAGAATTCTCCAACATAATCTTATTGGATTATTAGCCCACAACAAATGGCACTACACGTCGAGGAGGATCGCGGGATGGTTACACTGCAAGGACTTCCTCAACTTGTTTTGGCACATGGGGCCTGTGTATTCATGTGTGGAGATTACAGAATTGGCCCGTCAGCACATTGAATCAGGGTGGAATGGCTACATACAGGACACTGAGACTTACAGGTGGTTTACTGATACCAGGGGTGAAAGGACGCTCGCGAGTAAGGGATGTCCCGGGGAACTGGGTCGGAGCATAAAGAGGCCATTTGACGAGACCATTGTTCTGTGGCATCTCGCCACAGATTTATGCTTTCACCATAAGGCCACTTCTCCTGGACCTGGTGATGATCGTGAATGCCCCCGCCAGTGCAAAGAAATGTCCAACTACATGATGCATCTGTTGTTCGCTAATCCTAAGATGCTAATGCCAGGCAGCAGAAAGGGCTTGTTCGCGACGGCTTACAGCGAGCTCGAGGAAATCCTCAAGACTGAAGAGACACCACGGGGCGAGAGGGAGTTTACACAGAAGGTAATTGAGATATGCGACGCCCATCGTTTTCCCGACACTTTTATTGGCGATGCTTGGGTGCTTGCTAAAAGCTTGTTAGGCTATGAGCTTGATGATCCCACCAGAAAGTGGGAGGTGATCAAAGGTGTGTGGATGGAGATGCTCTGCTTTTCTGCTAGCCGATGCCAAGGATACTGGCACGCGGAGACTTTGGGAACGGGTGTGGAGTTCCTCTCCTATGTCTGGGTCCTGTTGCAATACTCTGGGATGGAGACATTTTCGGAAAAGCTTCAGAAGAGAGAAGGCATGCCATTTGATAGCGATGAGTCTTTGGTTTAGTGGGCAAAAGAAGATGCTGCTACCAGATTTTCTCTCAAGGATATTGGGTTCTATTCTGCCATATGTATGTCTTTGATTGTGTTTCCTGTCTGCTAGCAGATGCTTATAACTGTTAACTAAGCAGCAACAAGTCTGTTGTCCAGTCGGTGACATTATATGTTGTCACTCCTTCTGTCTTTGTCACTGTTCGATGCAGGATATGTATGAAATGGATGCCCCATTTGTTGTCCAAGTGCAGTGCAGACCCTTGTAAGACGATTGAAAAGTATCTGGTCACTTCATTAGCATGTCCATGTATCCAGGTTTTATTGCCTGCACCCAGCTTTTTCGATAAAGGACGCATTTATTGTTGTTGCCACCGCTTCTCGTAGCGCCGCTCTTCTTCTTGCTCACAAAACTCTCACTTGTAGTTTCTCTCAAGAACACACACACGCGCCAAGGAGGACACCAGCACCAGCTTTGCCAAGAGCTCTCCTCCTTGGTCACACAAACACTACATTTTTGCCCAGCCCTCTCGGCCACTTTTCTCATTCCTTTTCTTGACTTAAATAGGCAGTACAAGATAATGACTCACACACATCCTGGTCCTCAACTTACGGCAAGGCCATGCACCCCTGGAATCTCTCCACGATGCACAAGACTCGGCCATCACGCACACACCTAATCAACTAACCAATGCACGAGCTAATCCCTGACTACACGCACACGTCCACTACTTGCGCATCGTCCACTCAACGGCCAGCATGCACATGCACATGACTAGCTAACAAACTCCATGCGTGACTACATCAACTAACTCATCCATGCACTAACTAACTAACCGAGTCACCTGACTAGTTAGTATTGTACTGGACGTCACCTAACGTGGTTTACTCCAACATTTATTAACTCAAAAAAGTGTAGCATCATGCGGATGCTGTCATATTGAGAGACACACGACCTCTCTATAATTAGAATGCCATAGAGCTTTGTATATAGAAGACCCTAATAGCTAAAGATTTGCATCAGCGTTTTTTTTTTGTTAGGAGTGCATACTATGTATTTGTAGTCTATGTCAAACGTGTAGTTACCGATAAGCATTCCGGGCGCCTCTAGAGGGTTTTTCCTTCATTGAAAAAACTCCCCCTTCCCGCGTCGCTCCCACAAGCGACCGGGGCAACCCTAGCGTGCTGCCACTCTCTCCTCCCCTCCCAGCCCTCCTCCCACACTGTAAGCGTGAGGCACCACCGAGCAAAGCCCGACCAACGTTGGCGGCGGCGGGGCCCTGCACCCTCTCTGCTTGATTCGGTGGCTGGTGCAGGACAACTATGTGGGAGGAGGCACAACGGCGTGATGGTGAGCGTGCGGGGCTCCGGCATCTTCGCCTGGCGACGGTGTGGCGGCGCTCTGGTGCTCTGGTATGGTGTGATCGCTATGGGGCTCTCTTCATCAGGTGGTTGCATGTGGGACAGACTCGTGTAGCGTGGGTTGAGGGCGGTGTGGGTCGTCGTCGGCCAGCTCCGCCATGGCCGTCGGCTGGTGGAGCAGGTGGCGTGATAGTGGTGGTGGATAGTGTGCACTATGCACCCAGGATGGTGGGGTCTAGATCTTGCCACGTGGATGGTGCAGGCTACGGGGTGGCTAGGATTGCGGTCGGTGACTAGGGCTACGGCTGGCAGCTTCCTCCATGGTTCCCGGGCGGGGAAGGCAGTGGCGCGGTGGCGGTGGTGCCTACCCGGCTGCATTTGGTTGGTGGCGACGATCTTATCCCATGGGCGCGTGGCATAAGGGCGTTGTAGGTTGCCACGGCGGCCCTCGACAGTGGGGAGGCGGTGGAGGAACCGGCCGTGGGGAGCCAATGGAGGGGGTGCTCGGCGGCCTGAGGTATTGGCTACTAACGGGTGTCTGGAGGTGTCGGCTGCCATCTAATGTTCCCTGTCTGCATCTGGAGTGGCCAGATATGATGGGGTGACGCCGACCCCTCCCTATATGATGGGGTGTCACCTGTCGGTTTTGCGAAAAGAATTGCGTCAGGCCGGTTGACGGATCGATACAGGTCCGTGTTGCATGGCAAAACACGCCCGGATAACACGGTCCGAACGATTGCGGGCGCTTTGAGAGTTGGCCTTGGATATGCCCTTATATCTCAAAGAGGAGATGAGGTTTGTAGTCTGCTGGTAAAGCTTCTTTGAAATTGTGGGAGCAGATTGCTTTTGTGGTATCTCTGAGATTGAGAACTTATTGAGCTTTTTGGTTACCTTTAGAACAGGTTATGTTTTTTTTAGAAAAGGAGGATGACCCCCGGCCTCTGCATCTGGACGATGCATACGGCCATTTTATTAATTATTCTCACAAGACCTTACAAAGTCATACAACAGTAAGACTAAAGCCGCCGTCTAAGCAACAAATGTCGCTACACCTATCCAGTTGATGAAGGGGCGCAGATAGCCTGGGCCTAATACCAAACAGACATCGCAGCCAAGCCTAACATCTAAGACCTGAGACCCCAACCTAGCCACTTGCCGGGTCTAGGGCACACACTGGTCCGGCGTGCTCTCAAAGGCCGCCGTCGCCAACTGCCACCGCTCCATCTTCAGAACTGTACTGATGCATCAATCTTGCTCGGTCTAGCTATCATCGACGCCACCACGGCGCTCAACGGCACCTCCTCCCTGCGCGCAGACAGCTGAGCACGTCGCGGTCGCCACTGATATACCTCAGCGCCATGCTGCCAAGTACCACCAGCCGACACAGCTTGAAGTCTTTGGAAGATCTGTCGTGCGTAGCACCTGCCGACCAGGCATGACGAAGCATAGCACCTGTCGGTCAGGCATGACTTGACATCTCCATCGAAGCTCCGTGCAAGACGAAGTCGCTCCACCTCCTGCCTCTGACTTCCAGCGCTGCTCCACAAACGATGCTCCCAAGAGAGAAACGACACTGCAGTGCCGCCATAGTCCGATCTGGAACACCAGATCCTAGGGTTTCCCCCGGAGCAGCCCGAGTGGGTCGATAGTAGTTACACGACGATGCCTTCATCAAGGTAACGGCGTAGAACGTCGCCATCGCCTGCCATTGGCTCGGTTTTCACCGGCAACCATGTCTCCCCAACTCGCAGCCGGGACTAGATGAGGGATCTCGAGATCCGATCACCAAGCTTCTGACCGGCCACCACCGACAAAGAAGATGACCAC